TCAACGTTTTGCTTTTATGTGGCAAGCACAATAACCAAACCGAGTTTAGTACAAATTGGTAGAACGGTTACCGAGTTATATATATGTGATCATAAGTGGGTGGTGCCACGCCCATTTTCCAAAATTTTATCAGAAACGTATTTCTTGGTAAAGAGTTGTTGAGTATGCAAGCATGAATTTTGAATAAAGTAGCTTTAATATTTACTGATTTATCAAAGATTTCGTATTCTCCAAATTACCGTTATATGGGATGTGGGCGTGGTTATTTTAAAAAAATTTCGGCCATTTGGTATGCTGCACCAAGGCCAACAAGTATCGTATTTCATCAATCATACCGATAATTTCATGCTTTAAAAGAGTTAAAAATGAATATGAATAAAAAAAGTAGATCAGCAAAACAAGAAATTTTTAGCAAAAAAATCGACTTCAATTCTCATATAAAATATATATATATTAGGCCGGGTCGATTTGTGGGGAGGCAAAAAAATCGCCCATTGCTCTGTGAAAATCATATTCTAGGGATCAAAATAAGAAACTTTGCCGAAGGAACTATACCTCTAAAACGAATTCTGATGTCCCCCAATTTGGATCGAACTTTTGGGTAGGGGCAAATTTTGAAAAATCCCACTTTGATCCATTTAGAGTGCTCCAATCGAGTCCAAATGTATGACCGACCCCCACTAACTTTGGAGGCCCGACCCACCGATGCCAGTGGCACACCCCCTGGAACCCCCCTGGGGGTTCACCATACAAACATCGCCGGTTTTGCACTTTACATGAAAAAATCAGCGAAATGCCTATGTTTTTTAATTTTGGAGTTTATTTTTCTCTTTAGAAATTTATTTATTTAGAACATATGTAAATGAAAAAATGAATTTAACTTAGTAATAGAAAAGAAATTAAAAAAAATTATTAGAAATTAGCGTTTTTACAACCCTTTTAAAACCAAGGCATCACTGTGATGCATTTGTATGTCGTAAACATAGTTGTGTGGGTTTTTTATTCAACCGTTTTAAAAAATGAAGGTATCACTGTGACACAATTGCAAATCGGAAAATTGCTTGTGTGCGTTTTTTAAGACACAGCTGCATGTCGTACACTTACTTGTGTAGTTTTTTTATAGCACCTACTTAAGAAATGAAGGTTGTTTTTACAACCCTTTTTGTGGGTATTTTAAGGCACCTTCTCAAGAAATGCGCGTTTTTTGCAACCATTTTAACAATTAAGGTATCACTGGAATGCACCGCAACCCTTTTAAACAATGAAGGTATCACTGTGACACAATTGCAGATCGTAAAATTGCTTGTGTTGTTTTTTTTAAGCCACCACAAGACACAGCAGGTAGAATTGAAATTACCATTTCATTCTTATTACCTCGTCTCGTAGACCATATATAACGCAACAGTTTTTGTGAATGCATTATGTCGTTGTGAAGAACTCAAAGTGTGAAGTGCTAATTTCAGATAAAAAAATATTTAAAAAAAAAATAATAAGTGAAGTGACCATTCCAAATCAAAAAGTTTACAATGAATTCACCATCCTCTACATCGCACGATGAAGCAACTACATCAACAACTCGAAAACCCAATGAGTCATATACCCAAGCATGATGTTACTGTTTTTGGTGCGTCTACTGATTTAACTGATCTTAATTTACCAACCCATCTGGATATCTTGAGATATTATTTTTACTTAAGCGAACGTGCTAAAACAGAACAAAAAAAGTTTTCCCATAAATCATTCACTATTCAAGTACAAGATAAGTTGATTGGAATTTGGGAAAAACTTGGTATGGAAATAATGCTGAAAAAAAGTGTATTTAATAAATTTAATTAATTGCTTGACAAGTATCAAGAGCAAATCAAGAGAAAAAACAACACCCAACAATTTACAGAGTATGTAAAATCTCTGGAAAAAATTTTTTACATTGGAACATGTAAATGCGATTTGAAGGCAGCTCCATGTGCATGCGGCTGGGTTCCCGAACGCCTCAAAGAGTTCATGCACGATCAACATAATCAGAGAAGACTAACAATGGATGCATTTGTGATGGAAACTGAAGAGCAAGGAGCAACGTCTATGTCATCAATGCCAAGATACCAAGATCCCGATGATTCAACATACGCACCGCCACCAGTTCAAGAAGATATTGATAGAAGCACAAGTTCACAATACACAGAGAGATACGATTGTTTTAACT